CTGAAAATTTTAGATTTTTTGGTCTACAGGTTCGCAAGATGATCATAAAAACTTTAGGTGTCGTAATTTCGTGGCCAGCACTGTACTATCAACCATGACACTAGTGTGCACAGCTATGCGTGCCTTTAGATCGTTCAAATTACTAAAGGGCAACCGAATAAATTTTGCGTGACACGTGGTACAAATTTCGCACAGGAAATAAAACTCTGCCACGCTTTTATCTTGAATAAGATAAAGTACCCCAAACAAATATGTCGCCGCGTAAAAGCTGCGTTTCCATCGAAACATGGGACCTGCCCAGGCCCCCCATCGCATCGGATTGGGCACATCGGTCACCAAAATTTTATGAAACGTGTTCTCAGAAACTTTAAACGGGACCGTAAAACACGCCAGGTTTCCGATGTAAGAGGTACTAATATCCACGAAGGGTACCCTCATCTTCTCGGTGAAGGATAAAGTCGTGGACGTTTTTGCGTTACGAATCGGCGGGAATAAGTGGAATTCGAAGGTGCAAGGGAGATATGTCGGGTGATAATAGGAAGAAGATGAGGACTGATTCTCAATTCGGGTGAAGTATTCACCTTGTTCAGTTCCATTAATATTGTGCCAGGCTACATGGGTTACTTTTAACTTGACGCGCACAATTGGCACGAATTTAGGGATCCAGTTGGTTTCCACGCTCTTTTCTTTGGATACTTGGTACCACTTATCCGCCAGACCGGATGACATCAGTCCCGCAATTCGCGATAAGACGATATCATTCCCCCCAATTAAAAAGGGCCCATCCCTTCATCAATTTTCCGATAGGATCCAAACTCTTACTAATTGTGGCCTGTGGATACTTAGCTTGCAATTGTGCATACACCTGATTTACATGATCCGTCCAAGATGCCAGAGCTTGTGGTTCGTTACAATCAGAAATTAAATCGGAAAAGGAGAAATTCTCGGTAGAAGTGCTGACATAGCTGGGCGAGATGATTGAAATATTTTTCAACCGTTGCAACATTTGGTTTGAAATTGGATTTTCTCGGTTGGGTTTGGCGTCACTATGCACTGCCGTCGTTAGAAATTGAAATACCAAGATAAGCGACAACCAGTTGTCATATATGGCTTTTCGTTCCTCAGTTGTGTTGCTGTTGAGGGCATCAGTGTACACCGAGGAGTCGTATGGAATGGTATAAACGGAAAATCTGTTTTCAATAAGTTCCTTGAAATTCGTAAAAGTCGGCGGGTTTGGGGGAACAGTAAGTCTTTTCACGTATCCACCTTTGTACCCGGTGGACAAGACGAGACCCGCCAGAATCCACGTGGTACAAAGGACGTAGGCGAAATGGGCGGGAGAGCGGCGGGAAGATACAGTTTTTACTTCATTTTTCGCCCAATCATTACTTTGTTCTAGGAGAGAGGCCCACCCGAGGAGTAAAAATGCAGTTATAATTGAGCTTCTTGCGCCAAGTGATAAGTGGCCGATCCAAAATGTGACGCATAGTGTGCAACACGTGGCTAAAGTAAGTACCCACGTGGCGCTATCGAACGGTGTTACTAAATCTGAGACTCCCATGAGATTTTCAGCCTTCTTTTGATGACATGTTGTAAACTCTAACCCCTCACTTTTATAAGTGAGCACCTGACCCATAAACAAATCCATAATGACGCACGGTAAATTTGACATGCAACTAGTGAAGGAAGTTTGAAAATTGTAAGCGAACAATTTGGAATACTTTACATCATCAGAATTATCACGGATTAAGGGCATAGTGACACACTCAGGCTCTTGTCCAGTTAAAGTTGCATTAGGAAACGCCAATTTGAACAAGACTAAGTCCAAATTCATACTTGTGGCGTTGTAATTTTGGAAATTTAGATACTTCTGGCCTTTTCCAACAGCGCTCTGAATCGATTTTTCTTGCACCTCGGTATCATCCCCGTGTAAAGCGAGATGATTAATTAGCCACGTTCTGTCCACCACGATACTAGTGTGTGCAGCTATGCGAGCCTTTAGTTCTTCCAAATTACTAAAGTGTAACCTAATAAATTTTGCGTGACACGGGGTACAAATTTCGCACAAAAAATAAAATTTCGCCACGCCATCTTGCAGAAAATACAGGACACCTTGCAAATTAGTCACCTCGTAAAACCTGCGTTTCCAGTGGAACATTGGAGCTGCCCATGCCCCCCATCGCACCGGATTGGCCACATCGGTCACTAATATTTTATGAAACGTGTTCTCAGAAACTTTAAACGGGACCGTAAAATACGCCAGGCTTCCGATGTAAGAGGTACCAATATCCACGAGGGGGGCCATCATCTCCTCGGTGAAGGTCAAGGTGTTGATCGCTTTCGCGTTTCGGATCGGCGGGAATAAGTGGAATTCAAACGTGCAGGGGAGATATGTCGGGTGATACTCGGAGAAGGACGTGTGATTCGGAATTAGGGCGAAGAATTGACCTTGTTCTTCACTGCCAATGATATCTGGCCACGTGTAAAGACTAACGTTTAATTTGACTCGCACAATTGGTACGGATTCTGAGATCCAGGTAGTTTCCGCGTAGTCGTAAAAGACAATGAGGCAGGAGGAGAAGGGGGCTATGAAATTTGAAAACTCGGTGGATAGATCGGTTGAAAAGTTCGGTTTAATTTTTTGGGAGGTGATAATAGTCGATAATAAAATTATTTCAAACAATAATAGCTTCATGCTTTAGTGAAGAGAAAGTTTCGGGACACGACGATAGATTTATAAATTCCGAAATATGTAGTGAGAATTTGACATTAATAATATGTATCTGTAAATGTGCACTTATAAATGTACCCACCGGTGACTGGGATAATTGCATCTTAAATATTGAAATTTGCTGTGTAGCACTGTATAAATTTCCATTAAGTAAATTAAATTTTCCGATAATAAAAAGTCAAGTACATACAGTGTCGGACAGATGTCTACGTCCACATAGTCGCGTCAATTTTATTTTCAAATTGTCACTGAACTACTGAACCAATTTTCATCATTGATATATCAAATTCTCACAAATTTAACGTAATTTCATAGCACATTATTAGTTTTCCGCTAAAAAATTTATTTTAGGCCAGAGATGTATTTTAATTCAAAATGAAAACAATTGGATGGACAAAAGTCAACGTCCAGTAAGAGAAAACATACAAAAAAAACTGTAATTTATAAGGAATGTTATAACAATTAATTTTTAATATTTGGTTGGGCCTCCGTTCGCTTTAAGGACGGCTTCAAGGCGTCGAGTCATAGAGTTTACCAAATTCTTGGTCACATCTTCAGAAATGGTTTCCCAAACTTCACGAATTCTGGATTTAAGGGCCGGAATTCCTGAAAAAGATTGTTTTCTTATTTCTCTTTCAATGTGGTCCCACAGATGCTCAATGGGATTCAAGTCTGGAGATTGGGGAGGCCATTCTAGCTTCGAAATTTTTTTTTCTTGAAGTATTCCATGGTGTACGTGGCAGAGTGTTTCGGATCGTTGTCTTGTTGGAAGACAAATCGTCGTCCAAGTCCAAGTTTTCGAACAGATTCCTGGATATTACGGTCAAGTATTCCCTGGTACCTGTATTGGTCCATAATTCCGTCAACAAATTCCATTTTTCCTGCCCCACTTGAAGCCATGCATCCCCACACCATTACCGACCCGCCGCCGTGCTTAACTGTGGGGTTGAGATTTTTTGGATACCTCCACACTCTACGACGCCCATCTGACCCACAGACATTGAACTTTGACTCGTCAGTCCATAAAATATGTCCCAGAATGTTTGTGGCTTGGAAATGTGGTCTCTGGCAAACTTCACTCGTTTGGTTGCATTCCTCGGTACAATAAGAGGCTTCCGGACTGCTCTGTGGGATTTCAAATTTCCCTTGTTCAGTGTTCTTTGGATGGTCCTAGGACTAACTTGTTTGTCGAACATCTCCTTGATCTCGGTAGATAGCTTTGGAGCACTAAGTGAGGGTGTAACGTTGACTTTGTTGAGCACGTGGCGTACTTCTCGGTGAGCCAAAATGGGTTTTCGACCACTTCTGACCTTGTTTTGGACTGAACCATTAGCTTTAAAGTTCTTAATGATTGTCTGGATGGTTGTCCTTGCTAATTTATACTTGGTCTATATTTGTCTCTGCGACAGCCCCCTTTTTGTCCACCCTTCCAGTCCTGAATGACAAGATCTCGAATAGCGATAGGAATTTCCTTGCGTGTCGACGCCATCATATTTTTCTGGAAGAAAATTATTTAAAAATTAATGCGGCATATGTTATTGATAGATTTATTAAGTTACCTGATTTTATAAATTGGAGAGATTTTTGTTGTTGACAATTAAAGTGAAGTGGACGTAGACTTTTGTCCGCTCAAATTTCATCCTCTCTCGCTCTGCACTATGATTCTCAGTTTTCCCAGAATTTTCAGAAATAACTCATATGTTTTATGAAATTACGTTAAATTTGTGAGAATTTGATATATCAATGATGAAAATTGGTTCAGTAGTTCAGTGACAATTTGAAAATGAAATTGACGCGACTATGTGGACGTAGACATCTGTCCGACACTGTATTTACACCAACCCGAACTTGAAAAGTTAAAGTTTGACCTTTTCGTTGTCGGGTCTAAAAATCATCTTCTTAATGCTTAGCGTACATACTATTGTTAAAATTAAATTGTATTTCCGTATTTTCCGTCAGAGGTTTCAAATAAAATTATTTTCATATGTAAGTACATACTGATTAATCAAAACTTGTTTAATATATGTACATATTTTTGTTCATACATACATAATTTTCAGTTATTGCACAAGTGGTTTTCATGTAAATTCTGTACTCGCTTAGAATTATTGCGTAACGTAACGATTATGCAAATATTGGTAACTGGTAACTTTGAATGTGTAAGCAGAGTTATGTATGTATGTAGGAGAAACTCTGGGATTCACTTCATGAAATAACTATAGAAACCTCTGTGGAACGGTTTCAGTATTTTACTAAATCAGTTTCCAAATTATCTTTGAACGTGAAATTTTTTATTCATCGGTTTTAATGCTTACAGTGAGCTAAATAAGTACAAATTAAGAAAATACATATTTAATTGCTTTTATATTTATGGACAAATACACTCTAAATATGTACATACCTACGTACATATATGTATATGTTTTACAATTTGCTTATTTTTACCTCTGCTTTTTAACATTTAATTTGCATAAACTTTGTTTAAGCGGTGAATAATTGTTTATTACTGTTATAACATATGATGCACAATTTATTAATTCGTAGTTAACTAGTTATTGTTTCTATTAGTAAGTCGTTGATATGAAGTTAGTTAAGTAGGTTTTTATTTCAATATCTAATGCATAAAAACTTATTGGCGTTTAGTATATTTTTGAAATCCAAACTCTGTGCAGTTTATGTATGTTATGTACGTACATAACCCTTAATAATATAAAATATAATATTATATTATTACAGATTTAAACTCCAGTTCTGGACACAATTTTAAAACTAATAAAAATTTATTATCGAGATGCTTAACTGTCTGTATATTTGTAAATGCTAATAAATTTCTGAGGAACATCTTCATCTCTACCTCGATTTGCATGAAACGTGCATTCGAAATAATTTTAGATAAACTAATTCATGTCTAATTGCCAAAATTGGTATTGCAATGAGACACAAGTAAACGATTGAATATGTAGGACTAAAAAAGTGTAGTGCTAATAAACTCACTGGTTAATTTGTCACTATTAATGTCAATTATTGTCACTATTAATGTCAATTATTAATATCATTCAGAATAAATATGTTAAATGTACAAGGATATTTTTGCACGAAAAATTAGTATACTCACGTCAAGGATAAGGATATCTGCAAGTATATTTCGATGTCAAGTACATGTACATCGGATAGTTTGTTAAGCGAATATAATTCAAGAAATAAGTTGACCAACGACGAACATGGAAAAGGCTAATAATTTCGAATCTTGCGAAGTCGTCTATACGCAGTGAAGAAAAAGAGATTGCTCGTCGTCTACCTGTGAAAAACAATCTCTTGTCCGATACGTAAAACAATTTCATGCACAGCATAACTGGCATAGAGTTCGAAAAATTCGAGACGAGGACAACATACTTGAGGAGCTCAAGCAACCAATTTGAGCAGAAAGACGAGGTTATCGAAGCGCCTCGACCAGAACAAGGGCTTGCAAGGGCCCCCTGACTCCAGACTTCTGGGCACATGGAGAAATACAATGTATCCATGGTGGAAATAATAAATATATATTATTTGAATGTATTCAATAATTGCTTTGTGTGGGTCATTCCTCGTAAAGATAAACTATATTCACACTGGTTTTTTGAAGACATTACTCCTGTCCACCCTTGGATCACTGATCGCGGACTCTTACAGGTAGTGTTTCGCCAAGTTCAGAGGATGGAGGCCCTCCATCCTCTGAACTTGCTTTGGTGTCCCTCCATTGGAGGGACACCAAAGCATGGAGAGGAAATTCGAATATTTCTCTACGAATAGGATGTACGCTAAACACCTTGCAGCTGAATTATGGGGTCTCTGAGAATATCGCAGCATGCGACCAATGTACACAAGAAGTTGTGATTCGTGATGAAGAAGATAAAGAAATGGAATACGACGAAACCGAGCAGAGAGATCCAATTCGTTGGTACAAATGTCCAATTTTTACAAAGTACCTCGAAAATAAAGAATTAACTACTAATGAAAAGAAGGTGATTTTACCGTCACCAATTCTCCATTACTATGCATTTGCAAAGCATTTAAAAAAATTTATCAGCAGACATAGGTGTGATTCCTTATTTTTGAATATTTTATATGTGAGTTCAAATAATTTGTAAAGTAGGGAAGATTAAATTAATTTCTACTATAGTTTTTACTTTGTATATTCTACAATGAAATTCATACTGCGAGACTTGAGGCCAATGTGCATAATTTATTTTTGGAATTTTATAGATTTGACCAATAGAGGTACTTTGTTTCTGGACGATAGAAATTCGCAATGTGAATCGAAACATCCATGTGATTCTCGTTTCACTTCTTTTTAGTAAATTTTTCCATACTACCGGAATGGAAAAACCTAGCTAAGTACTCTTAAATCGGCCAGCATTTTAGTTAATTTGCATATTTAGTAAATATGCTAATTTCTTATGCAAATTTAGATGAAGCATATGTATGTATCTATCCAAGTACGAAAATGAGGATGAAAAATAGTAAAGCTAATACATACGTGTGTTTAACCGAGACTATAAATATGCATTCTTATGAAAAATATAAAATATATTCCTCACAAAGTGTGTAACTTTAATGGACGTGGTTCCGTCATTCATTTTATTTTCTTCATGCTCGTCAAGATTTCGGTAAAGTTTGGAATTGCGTCTCCATGATGTCGTCCTTATGGTGTGCATGTTCTTCTCACAATGTTGGTGAACATTGAGCTCGTCTTGCGGTAAAAAAATTAGTCAGTGTACTACAATACAAAATTAAATTAAAGATCTACTATTAACTTATATATTTTAAAATGTTCTTCATGCAGTTAAAAATTACCATAATTAACTTGAACAGAATTGTCTGAGGTTTTAGAGCCTAGGGTGGGTATCGTTGTCCCGAGCATGACGTGGAATAAGACTTTTCGTGCAGTTTGAAATAAATATTTGTCACGAAATATGTCAATAGTTGTAAATTAGATAAACAAGATTTACAAAAATGCTAATGCTTAAATTACTTACGTGCAGTTTAAGCAAAAAATGTATTCAGACATACATATTTATGTATTATTTTTGTACGCTTACAAACGTGCATTTAATGTGCATATCTCTGAGGAAGATACATTTTTTATGAATCGCTACCACCTATTTAAAAAAATTGGTTAAATTTAATATGTACACAAATTGTTCAGTGAACTATTTTGATTTGAAAATTTAAAATTTGAACAGTTACCTTTTCATCCGTTTGAAATTAACATTTTCAGGCAAGGAAAATATTTGCACTGCAGATTACCAATGAAAATTTTATTTTTTCGTATTGTATTTGAACTTTTAAATATTTTATCACGGGAAATGTAACTTATTTTTTAGAAAGAAACGAAACTGGTAGTATGTACTACTGAGAGTTTTAAGTTGTGGAAACGAAGTGATTTTATTAGTGTAGGCTGACGAGAGTGTGAATGTGAACTTCACGGTTGGCTGACAACGAATGGGTCACAAATTGTGACCCACAATCTTGTGGAAGAAAAGCAAAAATGACTGACAGATGCAAATCAACATGTACTTTAGCGACTGTGCAAAAAGTATGTGATCGATTTGAGGGGGTTAGGAGTCAAGCTGTCATATTCCTGCCGTGTTAATTATTACACGGGAGGTACATAGATCACAGAAGGGAGCGGGGTCAACATTCTTTGAAACTCGAGCACATGCATTATGTACGGTCCCAATTATTATTGCACATTCTCACAATAAAAGAGGATGCGTTATGCATACGTGTGTATTTAGCCCCTTAAGCTTTTACGATCTAAATACGTAATTTGATTTGCTGTTTTTATTTTAATTTCTTTACGAAGCCAGAGTTGAATGTGCTTTAATTCAGTATTTGCATTTTTGTGAAAGCTTTTCCCACTCGAAGAAACGAACACATTTGAAAAACAATGTAACAATTATAATGAGTGTTTTTATCAAGGGATGTGAATTGTGAAATGCTGCATACATATGTATGTACATATGCAAATAAGATTGTCGGTTTTAGCCATAAGGTAATGTTTGATATCATATTTTCGAATCTCCGTTTTCGAGTCGTGCAGACCTGGATTGATCGTTTTTCCGAGAATTTTGACACCCACCACTTGGTGTGACGCATGTTATAATTAATGCTGAAAGGATAGATAACCTTGATTCGTATTCGCTTCAAAGCAATCGCATTTCACCGTCCTTGTCAGAAAATTTATAAATACATATGGAAATTGTAGAGTTAAGAAATACAATTTTGTTACTTTATTTTAAATTTCCATTTAAACATATCAATTCCTCTAGACATGACGGATTACAATGTTTACGGGAATATTGAAAATTTGCAAAAGCTCGAATTTTTAGGACTTGGTCTTTTGTCGTAAGAAAAATCATGTTGGATGAAGCACATGTACACATATTCAAAATTCTTTGGTGGCTAACTGGTTGACCTGTTTCTATTTTCTTTGTTAACCTGCTGCTTCCCATTTTTACTACACAAGCTGTCAATCGTTCCGTTTTATCATGTCGAGGTCAACATTCTTTCGAGTAAGTATTCCAGTTCGCCTAAATGTTCCCATTAAGCTTTCGGATGATCATTCTGTCCCGAAATGAAAATTACAGTTTCGGAACACGTAGAGTGTTCTTAAATCCTGCCCGTTCTGTATATTTGTCCTCCAAAATGTGAACACTGACGAGGACGAGGACTCCCTCATATCTCAGCTTGTCGAGTCCGTGGAGGAAAGCGTTTTCAATTTGGTCTGTAATTATAACGCAGAAAATAAATTATTTGGGTCCATAATTAAAAAAAACTATTTTTTCAGACCGACAGAATAAAGGGATTGGTGGTCCATTCAATAAAATAATTCTAATGTCGATTTACGTGCATAATTTTCAAATTTGGTTAAACTCAACTTAAAATCAACAATAGGGATGGATATAATAAAAATCACAAAGTGCACATAAAATTTAATATCAAAATTCAAAAATTCAAAATTTTTGGAAAAATCACGCCAACTTACACGAGTACCCAAAGTCAAACAGGGTGTTGACTTCGTTCAAGTAAATTAGCGCCGGTTGATTTTCCACACCCACGGTGAACAGCCACTCGATGTAGTTTTTCACAGCTTCTGCACTTGGGTTAATGCAGGTCTCAGTTTTTCGGAAAACTGCCACCTCGTCAAAAATACTTTCACCCTGAAGGCGGATCTCATTCCAAATCGCGGTTGCGAAAAGTTTCGCATTTTTTAAATCGCCATGCAGCACCAGACCAGCGGCGTCACGATTTATGAATGGTGTCACAACCTTGTCCTGGAGGAAGATGACCTCTGCAGTAAATCCGGCGTCCCGTAACGTGTCAAAGGTCACATTCCTTTCCCACCCGTCATCCTTCCCCCATTCGTACTTGTCGACTAAATTATTCACAAAGTGGCTGCTCTTCTCGCACAGCAAAATTACACGAAACAAGATTGGTAACAGAACTACAAAGCCGGTGACGAGGATGAAAAGTATTACTAAGCGGTAGTAAGCCTGGCTCTGTTTACACGTGAAGTCGACCGTTCTTCGGTCAAATGCTTGCATTTTTGGGGAAATTGGGTCAAAAAATTACATTATTGAAGGGTAAAAAATTATTTTAGGTATGAAATGTAATAAAAAATTATGTTATGAAATTTGTGACTCGTATCTATGTATTTGGAAAGACAATGGATGTTCAAAACTTGTGGAGAAGATGAATTTGGGTGGTTTTAGATACTGTTCTTGACGTGCGAGATAATAATACGGGCACCGTGACAACCAGCTGAGTGAAAGTGGTGAAAGCAGTGAAAGTGGGTCGGGAAATTTCAGGCCTAGTCGGAATGAAGTGGAGGAAAATAGATGTACATACATATGCTGGGATTTAACTCCCATGTGAAACAGAGGGAAAATGCGTACAGCATCCTTCTGGAGAACGTTGTTGTGCAAGGTACGCAGTGGCCGTGGAAGCGTGGGGACATAAACAGGACAATGTCCTCCTGGAAATTGTAATGTTTGGGTACAAAATTATTCTGTTAAGTTGGCTGTGTGAAAGAAGTAAGCATTAATCCAACCACGTATTTTTTTATAAATATCAATTTGTGTTTCTCACATTCATATTTGGTAAGTATGAAAACTCTGGTGCATTATAATTCAGTGTTAATAAATAAAAACTTGTGCATATGTATTTGTATACAACATACATACATATGCACATATAATTGAAGCAAGCATATTTTATTATGCATACATTGTCAAACAACAATTAACAAACTGATCCCATTTACAATATGAACGCCACTACCTAAATATTATCGGCCCGTGATTTACTATGTTCTCCGGACGAGCGACCTTGCATATTTCGTACCCATTGAAGGATACAACCACCTCCCAAACCGGAAACACAGGAGAGTAATAAAATCGCCAAAATGATTAAGAAAACCGCCCACATCGGCAAATTCCAGGGTTGTTCGGCTCCATGCAAATTAATTATGGTGTCACCAACATGCAAGTTTTTAGACTCAATTGTTGGCATCGTAGTGTAATTTTTAGTTGTGGTTGAAATGATGGTCCTAGGCGTCGTACTTTTCGTCAAGCTTCTTGACCGTACCGTGGGTACAGGGAAAATTTCGCCGTCTGGGCAGGTGTATCCGCAAAGTGAGACGGATCTAGCCATCTCTGCAGGCCTTAGTCCATCGTAGAAGCCCCACCACCACAAATCTTGCAAGTTCGGGTATCCTGGCTGCAATTGGACCGAGTTCCCCCCACACGAGGCGTCGGCATGTAGTTGGATACAGCTGGATAACGCGGTTCCTGGAATTTTGATGGAACGCCACGTCTTCACGGGGGTGACTGGAATGCACTCGTTCCTAGAAATTGTCAGGGTTGTACTATTTGTACTATTTCCTAAAATATTAAGCACTACAGTCAGTTTTATTGTAAAATATGAACGTACATATCTAGTTCATTGCAATATGAAAATAGCCATGGCATGTTTAAAATATGTATGTAAGTATTTTGCCAATTCAGTTATTCGTAGAATTTGTTTAAAAAAGTTATTTTCATCCCCAAAAAAACACAGATATGAAATTAGTACAAGAAATAGCTTCTCTTATGCACTCTTAAAAATAATGGGCGTACTCACGACAACTTCTTATTTCGCATCGTAACTCATTTAGCAAACTTGCGAAGATCAAAATATTTCTGTCGTGAGGGGATTCGTAAAATATGACTTCGCAAAACTCTCTTATCTCGCAAATCTACAGAAAAACACCTATTTTGGTATTGTTTCCATGGATTTCTGTAATTTCTCTCGCAGAATTACTTTGCGAAATAATTTTGCGAAATAAGGACATGTTCAATTGCTGGGTAAATTTGCGAAAAAAAATCCCATGGTTTTCCAGCAAATTTTTTGCGAAATCTCGCATATCTTGTAAAACTTCGCAAGTTATGTTACTATGCTCAATTTGCGAGATATGCGAGATATGTGAAGGTTGACGTGAGTACGCTCAATGTTACCTTTAGAAAAATTAACACACTCCCAATAATTCTACATTAAGCTAATTGTACTACATCCAGGGTAAACTTTACCAAGTTAACGTTCCTCTTGATTTTGTATAGTTTACTTAATATGGAATTGAGAGAGTATTTCAATAGATAACATTATTCTTAAAAGTGCAGCACAATTGAAACAAATACAGAAAGTAAGCGCCCTCTAGCGGACAATGTGTTCAATTAAACGCAGCATGTTAGGTTAGCCGCTAGGTGGCACGTCACATTTTTTTGCAATTTCTCTCAAAAACATCGGCAAATAAATGCAAAAAAAATAATTAGTACACAATCCCCCAAAGTTTTGGAGTTTTCCTCAAATCAATTATTCATTGCACATGTCACACTTAAAAATGAGATTACCCATATAATTTTCCAAGTCGTAAAGGGTCACGCTAACCGGGATTTCCTCTCTCATTCGGTGCCAATTCCAAGGAAAACAATAGTCAAAACACTCCCTGATCGAGCTCACGGTAATGTTTTCATTACCCACCAAAACGTTCCCTTCCCACCGGTGAGCCGACATGTTTTGGATCACTGTAAAATAAACGGTTGTTTGAAGCCGGATGTAGTCTCCGATGCAATTTTCCTTGGAATAAATGTTGATACAGTTCCCATTCGTTTCTATTTCGTAAAGAGGGTCGTCCGGGGGTCTATTCAGTGATATCATGGGGATGCAGCGATCCGCGTCGAAAACTCGGGCTAAAATAGATATTTATAAATAAAAAAAAGTCATGGTTATTATATACACTGTTAAGAATAATGTTACCTTTCGAAAAGTAGAAATGGGGTTACGATTATTACCAAAAAGTAAGCTTATGTGACTCTACCGCCGCGGTTATGAATTTGTCACCAATTGGTTATGCATTTATTACCTCTGGTGACAATTTAACACCAAGCCGGTGAAACTGCATAATTAGTCCGTGCCAATTGTAATCACTCGATGATAAATTCGTAACCACGGCGGTAGAGTCACATACGTTTACTTTTTGGTTACAATCGTAACCCCATTTCTAAGGGTGTACACTCTGAATTATGTATGAAGTATTTACACTATACCAAATCCGGAGTAACGTCAACTTAATAAGGGATAAAGTTTATTATGGATTTAGTAGAGTTTACTTACTTAACGCAAAATTCAGAGTGCATTTGCCTTTTGGAAGGGTGCATATTTTTAAGAGTGCATATTGAATTCACATTTCCTCCGCAAGTATTAGATTGTGAAGGTATGAAAACGTTCTGAATTTTTAGTAACATAAAAAGCTTTTTTTATAAATGTGTATTTCATTATTACAGTTTATGTTTTTTATCTTGTTCTTACGAATGGAGTTTTTTGTGTCACGAATTGAAATAATTGTTGGCATTGCTGATGGAATCCATGTACAGATGAATAAAACTGCTGTAAATATACTTAGCCCCGTAATTGTAGAGTGCATTTTGTACATTATCTACTCTAGAACTTTTGGGAGAACTGGGTCCGCCAGAGTTTTGCAGACTTGCTGCAAAAAAACAAATTGATTGAAGTTCGAAGTATGTAAATACATATGCACATATGAACTTACAATATGTAATTATATGAACCAAAAGAAATGCCAAACTTCACGAATAAACAATAATATGCATCATGAGAGGAAAAGTTAGACTTGCAACGGTCAGTGGGACAGAATGAACTGATTTGGAGATGTCATGCATCTCGGAAATGGAACTTTTGTGAAAGTGTTCCAGACTGGGTTCTCGGTGTTATTATTGTTCCCAAAATGAAGTAACTTATGTAGTTTTGTGCATACACACATACATAAATAAGACACAAATATCTATGTACATATTTGTATCATTGGTGGTGATATTTACATAGTTTAGAGAAACTTTAAGGCGATACAAATAGAATCTTGTCTAACTAGTATATATGTAAGCTTAAGACAATTTTTACATGTGGGTTCCACCACGTGAACATTTTTGAGACATTTCAATACATGGGACGTGCAACGTGTGTCGAAAAGTCCAGAAATGTGTCGGCTCAGTAATTAAGAGTTCGGGCTGTTTAACATCTTTTGGGGATGTAAAAATATAATTATATATGTATGTATGCAAGATCATTTGTGTCAACTTATTTATCTTGTTAGTTATATTGTACACATGGATTATGTTTGTGTGTATGCATATTTATGTATGTATATGTCACATTTGAGTCAAATTTGTACAGCTGCCGAGAATACGCATATGTGGAATATTTTGACCAGGTTGGCCTTGTCGAAGGCTGGATTTGTTTAAGTAAAACTTGATTTGTGTCCTTGTAAATTCCAGTGTAGAATTGTAGAATTGTATTCCAGGGTACTCTTGTTTGTCATGCACAAAAATAAGACTGGGCTTCAACCCCTTTCTGTAAGCAACATGATTCTCATTTGTCTCAATTTGCCACTTCAACAACGTGATGCGTAACTTTTACGTAAATTTAAAGAGACATTTGATATGCTGCAATATTTTTGACCAATTTCGTATTTTCTATACAATTTTAGTTCTCATTAATCAGAAATCATTTCTTTTTTACAATTTATGAGAAAATGTATTATGGAAAGCGGTTGTTTACCATGTGACTTTTATGGGATAAAAATTCTGCAATATAACGGTTATGGAAAAGGGATTATGCAAAGTAACCGGAGACAATTCAAATGTTAGTCACGAAGTGGCATTTACTGATTACAGATACATTTTATTACCTACATTGTTTACTACGTTTTTGATATACATACACACAGATTAAATTTTTAATCTACATGTTGACTACATTTTTTATCTATATTTTGACTACATTTTTTATTTATATTTTTGATCTACGTTATTATTTTTAACTACATTGTTGACTACATTTTTGATCTATATTTTTGGCTACATTGTTGACTACATTTTTTATCTATATTTTTGACTACATTGTTGACTATATTTTTGATCTGTATTTTTGACTACATTTTTTTTACGTTTTTGACTACGTTTTGATCTATATTTGTGACTACATTGTTGACTACATTTTGATCTATATTTTTGACTACATTTTTGATCCACATTATTATTTTGAACTACATTTTTGATCTATATTTTTGGCTACATTGTTCACTACATTTTTGACTATATTTAGATTTATATTTTTGACTACATTGTTTTTACATTTTTGACTACGTTTTGATCTATATTTTTGACTACATTTTTTATCTATATTTTTTACTACATTGTTTTCTACATTTTTGAATACATTTTGATCTATATCTTTGACTACATTTTTGATCTAAATACATTATATATTTGACTACATTGTTGACTATATTTTTTATCTATATTTTTGATTACATTGTTGACTATATATTTTTATCTAGATACATCATTGACTAAATATTTTCATCGTCATAATTTGCTATATTTTTTGCCAACATAATTCACTGTATTTTTGATTTGCGTGACTGACTACATTTTGAATCTATTTATATTGTTGACAACATATTCACATTATTAACAATGTTTTTGATTTACATTGTTGACTACATATCTTAATTCACATAACTGAGTGCATTTTTTGTCTGCGTAATTGACAACAATTTTAGTCTACATTATTGACAGCATTTTTATCTGCACATTTCAATTCTGTTCAATTGCACTAAAATCAACAAGTCACATGATTACCTTCAAACAGGGCCCGTTTAAGGGCAAGGCAGCCTAGGCAACTGCCTAGGGCGCCAAATTGGAGAGGGCGCCGTGAGGCGCCCGGCTGTGTACTAGATAAAAACAACATTTGCCAGAATTGATAAATGATTTTCTTAAATTCGTAAAGATAGAATGGTCAGCAGAAAAACTTATAAGGAAAGTTGTGCGAAGGTCCGAGGACTATTTGACCAAAAGTTCGTAGCCTAATTTTTTGCTTCACATAGTTTTTAACAAGCAAATATTGTCATCTACAAACAGGCCGCGAAGTTTTGTAGAGGGTTGCTCAGAACGCCAAATTCTAATGTCGCTACTAGGCGTCCTAAGGTAATTGGTTATACAAATGCGCACAAAGGACTCTTGTGTTCAGAAATAAATTAATTGATGTTTACCAAACTGGTCCAAATTTAAAAACTATGAAAGCAGTTTTAAAAGTTCGCAAGAATGCATCTCTTATCCCAAAAGCAGTTCGGAGCACACATGAAATTAGTTAACTCATTGCCTTGTTACTGGGCCCGTGAAGGGGTTAAGAAGGCCAGACAGTTGCCCAGGGCGCTCAGGCGTCGCTGATAAAGTATGAGCGTGAGGCGCGAATTTTATACTGTTGTCAGTCAAAACCTTGAGTTGTCATAAGGTAAACCTGAACTTTTCGAACCTTAGCGTGAGTTCAAAAATATGAAAACTTGATTCTATGGACAGGCCCCGAAATTGGGGAGGGCAACCATAACAATTGAACAAGGAGTCATAATCTGAGGGCGCCGCGAAGCACCCAAAGGTTTACATACATACATATACATATACACGCACATTTATTTCAGTCTTCGAAAAATTAGACACTCAATTTATTGTTAGTGTTTTGTAATTCGCGATATAAAAAACCCATTTTTCGCATAATGGAAACCTGATAATTTCAATATTTAAAAATCGAAATAATCGAAATCCGATTAGCAAAATATTCCAATTGTTGATGTCCTACTTTATATATATATATATATCCAGAAACGCTTCCTTGTTAGTGTAATCTTTATAATTTTAGCACGGATAGTAAAATAATCTGTACCAATTAGAATTAGAAATTAGAATTTGTGCAGACAATTTTATTCATCTAAATCCCCCTCGCAAAAATTCTGGCAAGGAAGTCATACTCCCAGATTTTCAGAAGGAACATGTATACTAAAATTCTTAATTCCGACTAAAATTTGAAAAGGACCCGAGCTCTAAGCTGGATACCGATAAAAATTGCGACTTGCGCTCATTAGAACATATTTGCGCATTTCGATGCAAGAATAAATCAGGCATGCGTATTTTTTTCAGTGAAGAAAATAAAATTGGTATTATGAGCGATAACAATCAAAACCGGAATCCTTTCACACCTCACAAACTTTTGAATCCAACGGTGGAAGTCCGGCGCTTCTATTCGGCCCCCTCACGCAGTGTAAGGAGCTTAAAGTTGGAAAAGTAGCGTCCGTCTGCGATGTTTAGCTTATAGGCGGGTCAATGTTTTCCCAAGTGTTTCCTAATTTTTGTTCCTGCAACTCTTTTCGAGCGTTTTTTAAAATTGAGCGATTCTAGAGAACATCGTATTAGAATTTGGTATTAATATTTTTAATACCATGCAAATGATATTTTCAAAAAGTTTGTCGACTCTCTCCCCCGAAAATAAATATTGTAAAAGCACATAAAAGTCTCAGAGAAAGTCCCAGACGTCAGTTTTCCCAGAAAACTCAGGTTTTTGGACAATGACTTTATGTTTAAGTTTAAGTTTAACCGTGATACGAAAATGAATCTCTTTCTTCGAAAGCACAAGTGTCAAAGTCAAATTAATTTTCTCAAAAGTAGTCTTTCATGTGACGATTAATTTGTTGAGTTTGTGACCTAAATTTCTTTATAAACCAATGAAATCCAAAACCAATTAAACCCAATTAAAAACCCTGGGTTGTTATTTTTTATTAAAACCTTAGGTTTTTTAATCCTGCAAATAATAATAAAAATGCGCCAACTCTAACGTTCAAAACAAAAATTCGAAACTCAAGTGGGTTCAAACCCACTGAACCTACTGGATTCTTCGTATTTTTTAATTTTTACTTTTTGGAGAAAATTGTTTTTTAAACAATTTGGAAATTTGTGTCAATATTAAGCTTTGCAATTTAAATTTGAAATAAACCTTCAACCTCAGAAAAGCTCTCTCCGCAAACTCCTTATCGACTATTCATATTTATCCATACCCATTTCTTCTTTCAAATTTGGTCATGTTCTTCTCGAGTAAATCACTGTTATGAATTAAATCAGGCAAAAGCTTCGGGGAAAGCGGAAAAGCGAAAGGCTATTGCCTGTGGCAAAGGCTTAAGGTAAAGGAAAATGCCCCACGTGGTATGAATAACCTTTTGCCTTTGCTGTAGCCTTTTCTCGTGGGGAAAAGGCATTTGCCTAGGTCTTTTCTCTGGGAAAAAGAGCATTTCCCTTTATTTGAGCTGTTTTGGTTTAAATTCCACCCGAAAAAGTATTTTTATTTTCATTAATTAAAATACGGTTTGGGCGACTCAGGGGTTATGGAATCCTAGAATTGCGATAAATATGTAGCGCGGGGACGATTTACACCGTTTTTTTGCTGAGTGCATTATGTGAAAATAGAGGTTATGTTCGCAGATAAGCTAAATTGGGATAGTAGTAGTCATATTTTGTTTGGCGAATCTTGCATGAAAATCACAGAGGTGAAATTTAAAATTGGTCGGAACATCCTAAATTTGCTTGCAAATAAACGGAAATTAATGATGATACGCCTTTATGTACATGTATCATATACGCATGTACAGGTATTTATACATATACATATGTATACATACAAATACGTAAATCTTAGAACCGGCACTGCTGTATTTTTCACAATGATATACATAGATGTGTCCAGTGAAATGTTACTTCAAATCATACACTGTAAAGCATCCGGTAGAGTCACATATGTACTCCGTAATGGTATTGATTTG